ACATTACATACGGTATTACATTACATACAGTATTACATTACATATTTTAATACATTACATACGGTATTACATTACATACAGTATTACATTACATACAGTATTACATTACATACGGTATTACATTACATATGGTATTACATTACATANGGTATTACATTACATACGGTATTACGTTACATACGGTATTACGTTACATACGGTATTAAATTACATACGGTATTACATTTGCATACAGTATTACATTACATACGGTATTACATTACATACAGTATAACATTATGTACGGTATTACATTACATACAGTATTTCATTACATACGGTATTACATTTCATACGGTATTACATTACATACGGTATTACATTACATACAATATTACATTACATACAGTATTACATTACATACGGTATTGCATTACATACGGTATTACATTACATACGGTATTACATTGNAATGATTCTCTCACATGTTAATCCTGTTATATACATAATTTATTGTTGGCATTGCTTGTTCAGTGAATTTTTGAAGTGATATTAGTGCATTGATGTGACATAATACAATGTGACATAATACAATGTGACATAATGCAATGATTACTGTATGAATGGGAATTCCCATGGCCCATATTCATGAAATCATTTCCATGCTCAAGCATGGATTCTGTGCTTTGTTAAGACCAACTTTCTTACAACTCGTTTAATCAGGTGACGCAGCCAAAATATCAAGTGTAAATATTGAAAACAGTATTTTCATTAATTTATCACTGGAACAAGAAATCGGGCTTGAGCACAGAATCTGAGTTTGAGCATGAGAACGGTTTTATGAATATGGACCCTGGGCCCGAATTCATGAAACTGTTCTCATGCTCAAGCATGGATTCTGTGCTAAAACCAACTATCTTGTAAATCACTTAAATAATGTCAAACGATCAAAAAGTCACATATAAACATTGGAAACAGTGTTCGGCTTTAAAGTCTCATTATTTTTTTCGAAATCATTGACAAAATAACCCTACATTGAGACAAGGATATCTTATGTACCAGAAAAAAAGTGTAAATTAAGCTAACCAGGATAAGACCATTTATTGTTCTTCACTTTTGGAGGTGTGAATACCGTACCGTTGGAGGTGGAGACAGAAGTAGCGTGCCTTGTCCTCTAAAACAGTGCGATGGTGACCCATGTCTCTATGGTTACCGAGTACTAATATTGGGATCTGGGACGGGATCTTCTCAATCTCACGCTCAATGTATGAAAATGTCCTAAAATGTAAAGCATGAAACATCCTATAATAAAAGTTATGGAAAATCTTGATATTAAATAGAAATATAGAAATGTCCTCAAACATGATGTATGCTACCACACTAACACATGAAACCATATCAACAAATAAAAGTAGTTAAATAATACACTGAGACGCTTACCACTGTTTGGTGATGTCATACACCATGATAACCCCATGCGACCCCTTATATACGTCAATGAACTCTGCATCCAGACTGGGCTCATCCCCCTGTGTAACAAACATGTAAGAATCGAAAAACAATTGTATAAAAATTTCACTTCTCCTTGTTTGTGCCAGCAACATGCACTATGCAGATAAAGAATAAATATATCAGTAATTTTACAGGTGTAATATAAAGAGAAAAATCTTTTAGCATTAGCCACCTTTTAAGTTATTACTTGTCTTTCAGACTCACATGTTTTTAAATGTGTAGTGAAAACATATGCTAAATGTACATATATTTTTGAAATGAGCATGAAAACCAATATCAACAAAAATCTGGCTCGATACCAATAATTACAGTGTACTGTACCTGTACAAGTGGCATTAATATAACATGACATCTACTCTAACTATGGTATCAGATCATCTACGCAAACAATAGAGGTCACACTGCTTCTAGCCTTACTACAAAGTCAGACAGAGGTCACACCGCTTCTAGTCTGACTACAGAGGTCACACCGCTTCTAGCTTAATACAGAGGTCAGACAGAAGTCACATCACTTCTAGCCTAACTACAAAGGTTACACAGCTTCTTCTAGTCTGACTAGAGGTCACACAGCTTCTAGCCTGACTAGAGGTCACACAGCTTCTAGTCTGACTAGAGGTCACACAGCTTCTAGCCTGACTCAAAAGGTATGACAGAGGTCAAACTGCTACTAGCCTGCCTACAGAGGTCACACCACTTCTATCTTGCCTACAGAGGTCACACTGCTTCTAGTCTGACTACAGAGGTCACACCGCTTCTAGCCTGACTACAGAGGTCACATCGCTTCCAGCCTGACTACTGAGGTCACACAGCTTCTACCTTAACTAAAAAGGTCAAATAATCTTCCCTAACTACAGATAACGCATGAGGTCTACCCTAACTACTGAAATCACAGGATTTCACTCCTAACTACAGAGGTCACAGCAGTCTGTTTTTTATTGTTTACTTTGATACCTGTTGTTTATCTGGTTCCATCTTTAGACCCTCCATTTTCTTTTTCTTTCGACCTTTATCAACAACATCCCACACCTCGACCTTCACCACATCGTCTGTGGTTTTGTAGTTCCACTGGATGCTGCACACCTGCAAGGTCAAGGTCAGTGAATAAATTGGACTTTCTTGAATGTTTTTGTGAGTTACTTGAATGATTCTGTGACAATTAGACAATAATCTGTATATTTTGTTTCAGGGACCTGTATGATTCAGTTTTATTTACCTTAATGATGCTGTAAACACTACCTGTATATTTCCTACAATGTTTACCTGTATGTTTCCTACAATGTTTACCTGTATGTATCCTACAATGTTTACCTGTATGTATCCTACAATGTTTACCTGTATGT